CGAGGTGCCCATGGAAAAAGTGAGAATGCAGAAGTCCTGCTAGAAGTTGGGGTTGAGGGGATTCTATGAGGGTCCTGGCATTCTCACATGTGCTAGGTGGGCACTGGCTTGGTGACAAGGATGGGTTCCTCTGAGCCTTCTTCAGCTCCCTGGGCCGCTCAGGTCTTTAAACTTGGGGGGGGGGTGAAGGGAGGCTATGGTTCTGAACTCTTGGTTCTAAATGGGGAGGGACAGGGGGCCACACCTAGAGTCCTGGGTCTGAGAATAAGTATCAGGGGGCCTAGAATCCTGGATTCAAAGGAGAAAGCATTTAGAGGACTCCTAGGACCTGAGGAAGGGGATGGGGAAGGAAGAATCTGAAGTGAGAGATGGGGTCCCTGGGCTCCTGAGATCTCAGAGGATAGATGCCTTCCTGAGTGAACAGACCTGAGGTGTAGTCCCCTATGTCTCCAGAAATGGCTCCCTGGGTCTCTATGAGCATGCAACAGATCAGGGACTTCCTGCACTAAAGGGACTTCCAAGGCAGAACCTGGTGCCCAAAGTAGAGGCAACAGAATGCTAACAGGGTCATTTGATTCCTTTACAGGTACTGGCCCAGGCCCTGACTCCCTGAAAAGAGGTGAGTGGGGACCACAGGTTGGGAGAGGTGAGGGGTGACCGAGCTTTTTCTGGCTGGCAGCCTGGTGCCCTAGCACAGGTTTTGGTTTGAGGTATGATGTGGCCATGTTCCAAGGGCCCAGTGACCCCTAGGCTAGGACTGATGCTGAGGTTAGGAGCATCAGGCTGGCTAGGGGCTCCCAGTAGATCCAGGACATGGCTGGTTGAGAAGCTCTGGAACAAGTGGCAGGATGCTCTTAGGATGGCAGGCAGTCAGGTAAGGTCCCCTATCACTAAAGGGAACAAGAGTCTTTCCTGACAAGTAGTACCCCTGCTTATGGAGAGTTAAATGGACATGGTTTGCCATTTTGTGCATGCATATGTTGGTATGTGTGAAGGTCTGATAGGGGAAGAGCAGGAGACTGAGAAAAAGAAATGATACGATAATCATAATGATAATAATGAGTCCTAGTGGTGTAGTGCACTATGTGCTTGGCTAGTAACTGAAAGGTTAGCAGTTTGAATCTACCAGCTGCTTTTAGGAGAAAGATGGGCAGTCTTCTCCCATAAGGAGTTATAGCCTTGGAAACTGCATGAAGGGTTTCCAGGAGTTGAAAATGACAGTTTTTTATTTGTTTTTAAATTTTTTTGTAATGATAATACTAATAGCTTACATTCATGCCATGTTTACTCAGGAACTATTGCAAATATGTTACAGTGCATTAAATTACCTCCACAACAACCCTTTATAAAAGGTAGACACTGGGGAGCTCTGGTGGCCTAGTGGCAAGGAGCTGCAACTACAATCCCAGAGGCGAACGGTTCGAATCCACCAGATGCTCTGCTGGGTAAGGAGGGACAATCTCCTCCTGTACCAGTCAGATCTGATTTGACGGTACGCACACACAAAAATAATAAAATAAAAAAAAAAGGTAGACACTCTCATTTTTTGTTTTTTTGCTTTAGTCCCATAGCATGGAGTTGATGTGCACACCCTGAGAACCTGGTCTAGAAATCTTCGTCTAGATTGGAGAATGGAGGTTCTTTCTACAAAGATTGAGATGCTGAGTCGTAGAGATTCTGGGAGTAATGCTTCTGGGCCAGAGTTTTCTGTTTCCTACAGATCAGTGTCCTACAAAGAGGGAAGGACAAATTCAGGGTGAAGGTTTAGTGATAGTGATAGGGGGATGCCCTGGCCTTACCTTTTCCTCTTCTGTCCAATGGCTAGTTGTCTCAGTCTCTGCCCCCTTTGGTAACACTGGGTGGTGTAGTCTTTGGAGAGTTTTGCTGTTAGCCCAAAAGCCATGCCTCTGGCGGTTCACATCCACAGCCTCTCCTTGGGAGAAAGATAGACAGTCTCCTTCACGTGATTTATAACCTTGTAAACCTGCTCCTCCAGCAGCTCTGAGTCCGTTCTGACTGGATGACCATGAGTTTTTTAGTTTTCTGTGTGATGCTGTTCTCTTACCACTGCTCTCTCCATCCCATTCTCTCTTTTCCTTCTGTTTCTCGTTCTTTGTTTTTCTCTCTCTCTGCCTCAGTTTAATTATGTCTCCTCACTTTCCTTTCATACTCTTTTGTATCTCTTCCTTTCTTTCTCTGAGGCTCACTCTCTGCCAGTCCATCTCTCCCTCTCCAGGCCTCACTTCGCTTCTCCTATAGCTCTTGGTCTCCCCTCTTTCTGCCCCTGTACCCCTTCTTTTGAGCAGGAGGATGAGGACCACCTCAGGCCATAGCCTCACCCATAGATTCCTGGAAGGCAGATTGGCAGAGCTGGGGTATGGGGTGGGATGGGGTGAAAATAGTTCCAGGGACGCCCCCTTCCTGCATCTTCACCCCCCTGCCTGCCCACCCCATGTTGTGATGGGAGCTGACATATCGTGGGCTGTAGCTGCAACAGGGGGAATCCCCACCAGAAGGTTTTGCTTGGAGCAGAGGCAGAGAGGGAGTGTGTGTGTGTGTGTGTGTGTGTGTGTGTGCACGCACATGTACAGGTGTGTATGGCTGTATCTGAGGCCATATATGTGCACAGAAGTCTGCCCCTTGTTTAGGAGCTCATCAGTACCTTGGGGAAAACCAGGCTCCAGGCAGAACAGGGAGACACTGCTGGGGTTTCCACATCCCCTCCCACCTTCCAAGTCACTCTATCATTGCCCAGGGTGGGCACCTTAACATTTATTGAGTGCTTACTGCATGCCCAGCCCTGTGTTCAGTGGCTCCCATGAATCAGCCCACCGAATCCTCACAATAACCCAATGAAGATGGCACTGTTGACATCACATTTTACAAAGGAGGGACTCATCGCGAGTCAGAGCGAGCAAGGGGTGAGTCAGGCTGTGAACTGGGGATGTGGGATTTCAAAGCACTTGTTCTTCAGCCAGGCCTGATGTGTATTCTGTGCTCCATGGTTGTGATGATGGTAACACAGCTAACGTGGATGAGCATGCATTAGTGTGGGGCACTGTTTTGAATTTGCTATGGTTACTAAGCCATTTCACAGATATAAAGCCTGTCTCTGTCTCCCTTTTGCAGATGAAGAAACCGAGATTCAGAGGGCTTCAGACACTTACCCGAGATCACATAGCTAGTAAGTGCCAAAGCTAATATCTGAACACAGGAAGTATGACTTTTGTTTTTCTTTTTAAAAAATTTTTCTGTTTTATACTGGTTTATTTGCAAAGTTTGAGTATATTGTTTTCCACACTGGATTTTTCCCGTTTCCCTACCCACCCCATCAAATTGTGTGACCCTGTGATTAGATCTCCCATCCTTACTCCTCTGCTTCTACCCTCCCCCTGCCTTGGAGCCTCATACTCATTCTACAATAATAGTTTTATACGGTATTTGTCCTTATGGGGCTGAGTTAGTTCACTCTGCATAATTCTCTCCAGTCCCTCCCTAGTTAATAATTTACAAAACCATTGCTCCTGTGTGAGGCATAATATTCCATTGTGTGACTGTACCATAATTTCTCAGTCCATTTGACTGTGGTTGGACATCTGGGCTAATTCCATGTTCTTGTGATGATGAATAACACCACTATGAACATTGGTGTACAAATCTCCATTTGTGCCTTGGTTCTCATTTTCTTGCAGTATATTCCAATCAGTGGAATAGCTGGGTCATAGGGAATTTCTATGTTCAGCTTTTTGAGGAAGCGCCAAACTGATACAGAGTGGCTATATCATTTTACAGTCCCACCAGCAATGTGTAAGAGTTTCAACCCAGGAAGTATTACTTTTAAGAGACCCAGTGGTACAATGATTAAGCGTTTGGATGCACACTGAAAGGCTAGGCTTGGGCCTACCAGTGGGCCAAGATGCAGGAGAAAGATGTGGCAATTTTCTTCTGTAAAGATTGCAGGCTTAGGAACTGTATGGGGTAGTTCTATCCTATAGGGCCTTTAAGAGTTGAAATTGACTCAGCAGCAATAGACTTGGTTTCTTGTGTTTAGCATGGCTTTGAAATCCATTTTTACGAAGCTCTGGTGGCATAATCTGTAGTGTGTTTCACTAATAACCAACAGGCTTTGTGTCTCTGGTGGTTTGAATCCACCAGCAGCACTGTGGGAGAAAGGTAGGCAATCTCATCCCGTTAAGATTTCCAGCCTTGGACACCCAGTGGAGGATTGCTATGAATTGAGACCATCATGGCCTTAAGCTTCAGTCAGTAGAGATTTTCAGTATATCTAGTGGCTACTATAGGGCTCATTCAGGGCTAGGTGTCACCCCTCCCATTGTTAAGAGGTCCTGTGTTGGAGCTGCTTTTGGAGAAAGGAGTGGTAGGTTACTCAAGGGTAGTTATGTTTCTCCTTTTCTTTTCTTTTCACTTGTTGTGTGCCGTTGAATCAGACCCAACTGGCACAGGAGGAGATTGCCCCTCCTTCTCCAGTTGGAGCATCTGGTGGATTAGAACTGTGCACCTTTGGGATTGTAGTACAGCTCCTTGCGACTAGGCCACCAGAGCGCTCCCAAGGGTAGTTGTTATGTGCCATCAACTACAACTTACATCGACCCTGTCAACAGCAGATCTGAGCCTTACCCTATCCTGCATGGTCCTTACTATCTCTGAAACGCTGGAGCCCATTGTTACAGTTATGTCAATCCATCTCTTTAAGGGGCTTCCTCTCTTTCTCCTACTCTCCACCTTTCCCTGCATGATGTCATTTCCCAAGGACTGGCACTGCAATTTACCAGTTGGCTTGGAAATCCTTAATCTATTAGCAATTAATGCTAGTTGGTTAATAATCAGTCCTGCCACTGTCCCCAGAGTGGAGGAATCCATATCAGACTCCGAGCAGGACAGCTCAGTGGCCAGGCTGGTTCCATAGTCCTGTGCCTGGGTAACCTGGCTCCTCCCTTTACAGGTCTCTCTGCCCACCAGCCCTACCTGCCCACTGCATCATGGCTCCAGGCCCCTTCTCCTGGGGGCTCCTCTCACCCCCACCCGCTGCCCTGTCCTTTCTGCTGCTGCTTTGGGCAGGGGCGTCTCGTGGCCAGCCCTGCCCCGGCCGCTGCATCTGCCAGAACGTGGCCCCCACGCTGACCATGCTGTGTGCCAAGACGGGCCTGCTCTTTGTGCCGCCTGCCATTGACCGGCGGGTGGTGGAGCTCCGGCTCACCGACAACTTCATCGCTGCCGTCCGCCGCCGTGACTTCGCTAACATGAGCAGCCTGGTGCACCTCACTCTCTCCCGAAACACCATTGGCCAGGTAGCTGCAGGTGCCTTTGCAGACCTTCGAGCACTACGCGCTCTGCACCTCGACAGCAACAGGCTGGCAGAGGTGCGTGGTGACCAGCTCCGTGGCCTGGGGAACCTGCGTCACCTGATCCTGGGCAACAACCAGATCCGCCGGGTGGAGTCAGCTGCCTTTGACGCCTTCCTGTCAACCGTGGAGGACCTGGACCTATCCTACAACAACCTGGAGGCCCTGCCGTGGGAGGCAGTTGGTCAGATGGTGAACCTCAATACCCTCACGCTCGACCACAACCTCATCGATCACATTGCTGAAGGTACCTTCGTGCAGTTGCACAAACTAGTCCGCCTGGACATGACCTCCAACCGCCTCCATAAACTCCCACCCGATGGGTTGTTCCTGAGGTCACAGGGTGCTGGGCCCAAGCCCCCCACACCGCTGACTGTCAGCTTTGGGGGCAACCCCCTGCACTGCAACTGTGAACTCCTATGGTTGCGGCGCCTGACCCGGGAGGACGACCTGGAGACCTGTGCCACCCCGGAGCACCTCACTGACCGCTACTTCTGGTCCATCCCAGAGGAGGAGTTCCTGTGCGAACCTCCGCTGATCACACGCCAGGCGGGGGGCCGGGCCCTGGTGGTGGAGGGCCAGGCGGTCAGCCTGCGATGCCGGGCGGTTGGTGACCCTGAGCCAGTCGTGCACTGGGTGGCACCAGATGGGCGCCTGCTAGGGAACTCAACGCGGACCCGGGTCCGGGGGGACGGGACTCTGGATGTCACTATCACTACTCTGCGGGACAGTGGCACCTTCACATGCATCGCTTCCAACGCCGCTGGGGAGGCCACAGCGCCGGTGGAGGTGTGTGTGGTGCCACTGCCACTGATGGCGCCCCCACCTGCTGCCCCGCCACCTCTCACTGAGCCTGGCTCCTCGGACATCGCTACGCCTGGCCGGCCAGGGGCCAATGACTCAGCTGCTGAGCGCCGGCTGGTGGCCGCGGAGCTTACCTCGAACTCTGTGCTCATCCGCTGGCCGGCCCAGAGGCCTGTGCCCGGCATCCGGATGTACCAGGTCCAGTACAACAGCTCTGCGGATGATTCCCTCCTCTACAGGTGGGTTGGCCTCCTTGATCCTCCTCACAAGCTCGGGGGCCCTACAAAGTTGTCTAGGGTCCTGATTTTGCCCTTTCCCCTCAAATGTTCCTTAACTCAAATACTTTTGTTTGAGTTTCTCATCCATTCAGCAGATATACAGGTAGCACTTACAGTCTCCAGGTGAGAAAATCTTATTTACATATGCTTGGAGTTATGACTTAAGTCCGGTTTTTGTTGTGTACCTTAGAACCAATCCATAGCTGACCCTCTGGCATGTTTAAAGAGGCAGTTAATCGCTCTGGAGGAGATTGCCCACCCTTCTCCCGTGAAACAGCTGGTGGCCTTGAACTGTATGCCTTTGGGATTATAGTGTAGTTTCTTGCCACTAGACCACCAGAGCTCCCTTCAACTCCTGTAGAGCCTCTGAAATGAAAAATTTGAGGTCCATACAGTGATTCATAATCACGAATGGGTCCTACTTTGTGATTGATGTCAGAAAGTTTTATTATTATTATTATGCCAAAGATGCTTTAGGGTATTTGTGTTTCTTTAATGACTTTTTTCAAGGCACTGAAAGGTACCCTATATATTAAGACAAACTTTTGACCGACTGATGTGAACCATGTTGAAGTGGTCTGACTTATGTTCTAATTCAGTTTAAAAGGCAGATTTAGATATGGAACTTGTTCATAATCCAGGCCTTCTTGTATTTACAGTTCTGTTTTATATTTGTAAATTATACATCAGGGTCATTGTTATGGAAACAAAACAAAAAGCATGAGAAATACTAGCCAAGTTTTCCACCGACCTCTGTGTAAGACTATGCCATTATCCCAGTGTGGTCAGGCCTGTGTGTTGCAGACTCTGTGATAACTTCCTTCCATTATCTCTGTGATTTTCTCTTGCCTCTGCTACTCTCTGTCCTCCTCCTTCTCCTGTTAGCCACTTAGTGTGTTTTGAATAACACTCTTGGCCATGGAGCTGGCATGTAGTGATTGTTGGCTGTGTGGTCATCTCCCTGCCCTGTGTCTCCTTCCCTCAAGCGTATTGCTAAGTGTCTGCTGCTTGCTTAGTTCTGTGCCTGAGTTCACTTGAGGGTATGAGAAGGGCCAGCCATTTCCTTGCCTTTGGGAAGATGCTTGTGTCTTGGCCTCTGCCTTTGCTTGGTTTATATATGCCTGGCATATAGTAGGGGCATTGCCAGTGTTGGTTGAAGGTTTATATGTCTCTCTTTCCACTTGTCTTCTCTTGTTTTATTTTGCTCACCCAGCATGGTACACACCTTTTTGTGTTCCGGAAACTGTGCTAGGCCCTGGAATTGGAGAGGTCAGATGCCGGCCTGTTCTTACAAACACTGGAGCGAACAGTTCAACAAAACAAGTCCTTTTATAAAATATTTCCTTCCAAAGAATGAGACCTCATTTGATCTTTCTGACTCTGCTCTTAAGCAGAAGTGACCCCTTTTTCTCACCCCATTTTACAGCCAGGAAAACTGAAGCTCTGGGGTGAAGCCCTCTCTGCTACAGAGTAGCAGAGCCAGCATTCTAATACTTACCCTTTCAACTCCAAATTCTTTTTTCAGTGAACACACAGTTGTTGAGCACATATTGTTTGCCAGGCAAGGATGGAAGGGGAGAATGGGAAGACATTTTCAGTACAGAATTCTGATTTCCTTAACTGTCCATCTCTCTATTTCTCTTTCCTTCTGTCATTGAAGTGTGGCTACTGGAGGGTGGGAAGTGAAGGAGGATGTTCACAAGTGCCCAGATATTGCAGGTGTATGCAGATGTAGATGGCCCCCATCCTCAACTGGGGAGGCAACTCTGGAACTCCTTCCTTCCCCTTAAGGCCACAGTTCCAACTCTCCACCCCTTACTCCCTTGCAGACACCTGTGCTATGGCAATGCAGGAGTTAACTTCCTCACTGCTGCCATGGGCAGAAGTGATATCCAACCAGAAGCCTGCTCAGCTGCTTGCTTGGGCCTTGCAGCCAATTAGAGACATATGGGCTCCAGCCTTCTTAAGGAGCCAGCCTCTGTCCTTGAAAAGGAGGAAACCCCTAGCAACTGGTTATTTTAGGATAAGGGGCAAGAGGAATCCCAGGGAAGCTGAGATGAGAGAGGAAGAGGAAGACTCAAAGTCAGAGGAGGCAGGATGGCTAGGGTGGGGCTGTGAGGCTGTGAAATGGCAGGCAAAGGAGCAGAAGCAGGTGGATCCTCAGGTCTTTTGACTGGATGAAGGTTCTTGGTACTGGAGGTGGGTTAATGAGTGGAGCTTTGAGACCAGAAGGTGGCTCTGCAGCAAGGGAAGGTATAGCTTCTGAGAGGTAAGGAGGCCTGTGGAGATGGGGGTGTGGCCTAGAGAGGAGGCGGGGCTTGTTGTGCCTGATCTCTGAAGATGTAAAAGCCTTCCTTGTGTTTTGGTGGTCCACAGGGAACAGGAGAAAGCAGGTGAGGTTGAGTGCTGGGCATTCAAATTAGTGTGGCCAGGGCAGCCAGGACTAGATGTGGTTACTTGGATTTGTGGAGAAGTGTTCAAGAGATGTGCCCAACAGAAGGGACAAGGCCTATTGGTACTGGCCCTCCAAAGGGTGGGTCTTGTAAGATGGGGAGCTGCAGTTGGCGGTGGAGTGTGAGCTGCCAAAAGTATTGCTGGCCAACATATGATGGGATGCTTGCTAATAAGGATGATACCAAGATTGAGTGTGCAGCTGTGGCCGTGTTAACTCATTCAGTCCCCACACCTTTGTACAATATGGGATCTTTTGTTATCCCTAAATAAATGCTGGAGAAGAATATTGAATGTACCATGGACTGCCAAGAAAACAAACAGATTCATCCTAGAGAGGGTTAAACCAGGCTGCTCCTTGGAGGCAAGGATTCTGGGGCTTTGCCTGACATACTTTGGACATGTTGTAAGGAGAGACAGGTCTTTAGAGAGGGACATCATGCTGGGTAGAGTAGAGGGACAGTGCAGGAGAGAAAGATCCTCTATGAGGTGGATTGATTCAGTGACTGGGGTAATCGGGATGGGTGTGTCAGAGGCAATGAGATTGGCACAGGATAGAGCACGGTTTAGGGCTGTTGTACATAGGGTCGCTATGAGTCGCAAACGACTCGACGGCACATAACAACAACAACAACAAATAAATAAATAAAACTGGAGAGAAAGGAGGTACAGAGAAGTTAAGAAACTTGCTGAGCAACACAGAGCTGGCTGAATGGAAGAGGAGAGATTCCAAAGCAGGCGGTCTGGTCGCTTAAACACTTTTGCCCTGCTCCTCACTGGGCCTTGGTGAAATCACTGTTGTGTGTAGTACTGCTAACCAGAATGCTAGAACCTGCCAGCTGCACCAAGGGGGAGAGATGAAGGATTCCAGCCTCTCCAAGATGGATAGCCTGGGAAACCTTGCGGAGAGCCACCTTGAGTTGGAATCAACAGCAGCAGGTGGATACTCATTTGGAATTGGCTAGTAGCGGTGGATGAGCATGCTTCATAATATTGACCCAAGGATGGATGAAACTTTTCTGGAAGCTTGACTTAGGGACTTCTGTCAGTACAGGAAGGGCACTTTGATGGCCTAGTTCACAGGGAGTTGTGCTAACCCAAAGGTGCACCTCTCTGGAGGTTTGAATCCACCAGCAGCGATGCAGGAGAATTGATGGCAATCTCTCCTCCCATTTGATTTACAACCTTCAAAACATGCTAGAAAGTCAGCTCTGAGTCTGTTCTGATTTGATGACAATGAGTTTTGAGGGTTTTTTTGACAAGTCAGTCTAGGGGCATAAGGGAGTCTGTTGGCCTGTTGAGTAGGGTGTTTTGTTGCCAACCCAAAGGCAGGTTCTACAGAGAAAGACAGGCAGTCTCCTCTTGTGTGATTTACAACCTCTGAAAACTCACTGGAGGGTCAGCTATGAGTTTATTCTGACCCCACAGCAATGAACAACATAGGTTCACTAGGGTGGTTACCTCTAATAGCTAACGAAGGAATGAATGGACTTGGCCCAGAGGACCCATCCCTTGTGGGTCATTGAGGGTGTGTGGCTTGGAGGGAGTGACTTACAGCATTGGTATGTTAATAGGTGGGAATATGTAGAGGAGAGGTTCAGAAATTGACTCAATAGGAAATAGCTTCCACTTAACTCCTTGCTATCTAGTCAGACTCCCTCATAGCCTCCAGTGTATTTCCAAGGCTGTAAATCTCACAGAAGTGATTCGTACTTGCCATTGTTATGTGCTGTCACATAACCAACTCCTAACTGACCCTCCAAACAGTTGGTGGATTTAACTGCTTGCCGTTGGGTTGGCAACATCAACTCTTTTTACCAGTAAGCCTCCAGAGCTAGGGTTATCCACAGGTGAGGCCCAGGATAGGGCATGCTGATGAGGGGGTGTGGCTTGTAGTAGTGGTTTCCTAAAGCATGGAAATATGCAGATGAGGGAGCTTGGCTGGCAGCTGTCTTAATAGGGAATAAAATACTCCCTAGGAGGCTTGTCTCTTGAATGCAGGGTATGAAAAGTAGGGGTATACCCTACAGCACTGGTCCTTTACAGGAACTAGAATATGTAGATGAAGGAACATGAAAGGCAGATACTCGCCCAGGAGGTGATAAAACAGCCAGCCTGTCTAACCAGAGCAGGACATGGCTATGAGAGGGGCGTGGCCTGTAGTCTTCGCAGCTGAGATGGTCCATTTTTTGTCTGCTAATTCGACTGTAGTCTACCATTAACTGGAAGCTAACTCCTTACACTAGGGCGCCAGAGGTCTTTGAAATTCTGGTGACCTGTGGCAATAATTTGAAAGAGGAGGGGAATGGGTTGATGAGAGGCTACTTTTGACTCAGTAAGGGGTTAAACATCTATAGGGGTTTGGTATCGCTGGCCTCAGTGGGTGGTTCAGAGTGGTACTAACTGATTGCATCTCCTCCTACAGGATGATCCCGTCCACCAGCCAGACCTTCCTGGTGAATGATCTGGCGGCAGGCCGCGCCTATGATCTGTGCGTGCTGGCTGTCTACGACGATGGGGCCACAGCGCTGCCGGCCACGCGCGTGGTAGGCTGTGTGCAGTTCACCACTGCTGGGGACCCAGCACCCTGCCGCCCACTGCGGGCCCATTTCCTAGGTGGCACTATGATCATCGCTATCGGGGGCGTCATCGTAGCCTCGGTCCTCGTCTTCATAGTACTGCTTATGATCCGATACAAGGTCTATGGTGATGCGGATGGCCGCAGGGCTAAGGGGACTTCCAGGTCACCTCCTCGAGTCAGCCACGTGTGCTCGCAGACCAACGGCGCAGGTGCGCTGCAGGCGTTGCCTCCTCAAGACCGATATGAAGCGTTGCGCGAGGTGACGCCTCCAGCTGCTGTTGCTGTTGAGGCCAAGGGCAAGGCCACTGCGGTGGAGGCCTCCATAGACTCGGAAACAGTCCTCGGACGCTCTCTGGGCGGCTCGGCCACCTCGCTGTGTCTGTTGCCGTCGGAGGAAACCACCGGGGAGGAACCTCGGGCCGTAGTGGGCCCTCGGAGGAGCCGTTCTGGGGCTCTGGGGCCGCCAACCTCGGCTCCTCCAAACCTGGCTCTGGTTCCCGGGGGTGCCTCTGCCCGGCCAAGGCCTCAGCAGCGCTATTCATTTGACGGGGACTATGGGGCTCTCTTCCAGAGCCACAGTTACCCGCGCCGCGCCCGGCGGACAAAGCGCCACCGGTCCACACCGCACCTGGACGGGGCTGGAGCGGGCGCGGCCGGGGAGGATGGAGACTTGGGGCTGGGCTCCGCTAGGGCTCGCCTGGCCTTTACCAGCACCGAGTGGATGCTGGAGAGTACCGTGTGAGCGACGGGCAGGCGCCGGGACGCCTGGGTGCCCGGACACCTACCCAGCCATCTGGAGCTAGGGGCAGGACACCTGAAGAGAGGCAGCTGAGAGAGGCGACGATATTCTCCTCTTAGGAGGGGGCAGGCCACGGGGCTCCCATCCGCTGCGCACTCCTCGCCCCCTCCTGCCCCTCCCCCGTGCGCGCTCGCGGACCTTGCTGGAGCCTGTGCCTTACACAGCGAAGCGCGGGGAGGGGCAGGGTTCCCCCAACACTGCAGCACTGAGACACGAGTCCCCTCTCCCCGGCCCAGGATGGGGCTGGAGCGAGGGGCCCATTTCTTGTATCTGGCTGGACTAGATCCTATTCTGTCCCGCGTTGGCCTCCAAAGCCCCTACCCTCAACCTCTTCACCTCCTTGGTCCTGTCGGGTCTCCCTTAGGGCCCCCCTTTCTCTAATCCTCTTGTTTGTCGCTGTCCTGCCCTTTGTCTTCTTTGTCTTGTGTCTGTCCTTCCCTCTTGGTCTTTGTTTTTTTTTTTTTTCTGTCATCTCTTCCTCAGCCCTCCCTCTTTGTGTTCAGTTTCTCTGTTGAGATTTCCTCTCCCCGTTCTACAGTGTCCCGGGCAGGGCCCACCGGAAGGACCACACTCTTTCCTATCGCCTCCTTCCCCCCAAATTTCCTACACAAACAAAGTCCAAAACCAAATCCCTCTCTCTACAGGAGCCGGGACCCTCCACCGCAGCAGAATTAAACTTTTTTCTGTGTCTGAGGCCGCTCTGCGTGACCTCTGTGTGTGTTTGTGTGTGTGTCTTGAGGGTTGGGGGGAGGGTGGCCTGATTGCAGCATAATAACTATAAGTGAGACTGTAGAAAGCATTGGTGCCAGGGAGACTCGAAGACAGGCTTCTAGCTCCTGAGAGACAGGGACGGGGAATGATAAAAATAAAATGATCATAGAGAGCACAGACTGAGTGCTTACTGTGTGCCAAGCACTGTTGCAAGCACTTTTCATGTTTTAAAAAATCATTAAATCCTCACAATAACTCTAGGTGGTTGGTATTGTTCTATTTTACAGATTAGAAAGTTGAGATCCAGAAAGGTTAAGTAACTTACTTTGGGTTACACAGTTAGAAGGTGACAAAATTGAGATCTAAAGGCATGGTTTAAGTGAGTTCTGGTAGGGATTTGCATTGCCAATGTGAAAGGTACATGGTTTGACTCCACCAGCTGCTCCATCTGAGAAAGGCCATTTCCGCAGTGCAGTTTACTCTGGAAACCTTCTGGAGGGTCACCTGTGAGTGGGCTCCAACTCCATGGTACACAATAATAGCATGGTTTAAGAGCCTATGTGATGCAGTGGGCATTCAGCCACTAACCAAAAGAAAAACGGTTCAAACTCATCAGCATAAAAAAAGATGAGACAGTCTGCTATAAAGATTCCAGCACTGGAAATCCTATTGATGGTTCTCTTCCACCTTACAGGGTTGCTATGAGTCAGAATTAACTTGATGGTGGTGGGATGTTTGAACAGTGGCTTTTAAGATGTCCTGGTGGTACTGTGGTTAAGAATTGGACTTAACCTAAAAGTTAGTGTCTCAACTCAGCCAACTTCCCTGCTGGAGAAAGATATGGCAGTCCGCTTCCATAAATATTCACAATCTTAGAAGGTCTATGGGGCCATTTCATTTTTGACATTGTCTTTGTGAGTTGCAATCAACTCAATGGCAAAAGGTTTGGTTTAAGATTTCCTATGGCTTTTGAGTTTGGACTCTCAACCGCAAGACTGTGATGCTAAACAGTGATGGAATGTGCCTTCCACGTACAGGTAGGGCTTATCTTCCTAAGATTCAACAGCTTTAAGATCTCATTTTACAGGCCAGTAAGTCGGAGCTAAAGAAGTGAAGTCATTCAAGGCCAGTGGATACATGGCAGAGGTGTGATAGTTTGCCCTCAGCCTCTTGATTCTGAGGTCTATGTCTGGAGGCCAGAAATGGCCCCCGTGACCTAAGCTGAGCACACTACCCAGTGCTAGTCTGGGGTGGGAGTGGCGGGGAAAGTGTAATGGAGCTCATTGCACACTGCAGACCAGGTTGGACTCTGAGAATGCTAGATAGAGAAGGGACCCTCTGGGGTACAGAGTAATGTGGGCACCATTGTTACTCCAGAGAGGCTGGTTAGGGGGGCATCTGAGAAGCTTCTTTCTGATCCTGGGAAGAAGGAGGAAGGCTTCATGCCAGCCAAGGGCCCCCTGAGGCCTGGGGAAGAGGAGAGAAAGACAGAAATAGAAACAGAAGGAGAGAGGGGGGTGAATCTGGGCAGATGGGGTGGGAGGCAGCAAGGACAGAGGCACTAAGAATCACAGGCCATGAGGCTGCCTCACCCAGTGGCCCTGCCACACTTACAAGCACCATTCTCCACTCATGGAGACTCATGGCTTCCCACATGCCGAGTGCGTGCTCACACATCCTCCCTGATGCACGAATAGACAGTCTTGAACCCAGCACCTGGCACACAGCGCTCATGAGATGGAGTAACTTGGAAAAGCATGATTGCAGCTTAAGATTTAAAACAGAAAGGTGTAGTAGGCAGACCCACTTACCGAGAGGAGGGAACAAACTCAGGGCCAGGAAATTGCCCAAGATCATACAGTCAGTAATCAGCTGAGCCATAATTAGCTTCCATACTTGCACATAAGATTATATTGATTCTGATTCACCTGATAAAAATTTATTGAATGTTTTATGTACCTGGCTCTGGGCAGGGGATATAGCAATGGACAAGCTAGACAAGGAAGTCGTAGGCCAACATTGCTCCCTCAACAGCATAACGGGCTTTGTATCTGACTGGAGAGAGGAAACAAAGTTTCTGATAATGAGTGAGTACCATGGTAAGAATTACAACTGGATGAGGGTGCAAGGAATGGCTGGGAGGTCTAGTTTCGTTTGGGCCAAGGTAATGACATTGGAACTAAAGAAATCCACTGGGCAAGAGCCAGGGGAAAGTATCCTAAGTAAAGAGAACAGGGTGTGTAAAGGCCCTGGGGTGGAAGTATGCTCATGGAGCTGGACTGGAGTGATGGAGAGGAAATATGGATGAGTTAAGCAGAGGACAGGTTCGGCAGAGTCTTGTGGAGTGGAAGGTTTTATTTGCAGAGCTATGTGAAGCCATTCTTCTTGAATGGTTTAACTCATCCATATTTCCTCTCCATCACTCCAGTCCAGCTCCATGAGCATACTTCCAACCCAGGGCCTTTACACACCCTGTTCTCTTTACTTAGGATACTTTCCCCTGGCTCTTGCCCAGTGGATTTCTTTAGTTCCAATGTCATTACCTTGGCCCAAACGAAACTAGACCTCCCAGCCATTCCTTGCACCCTCATCCAGTTGTAATTCTTACCATGGTACTCACTCATTATCAGAAACTTTGTTTCCTCTCTCCAGTCGGATAAGTCTGAGAAGAATGGGAATTCCAGAACATTAATCGTGCTAATGCGAAACCTATACTTGGACCAAGAGGCAGTCGTCAGAACAGAGCAGGGCAACACTGCATGGTTCAAAATTGGGAAGGGTGTACGCCAGGGATGTGTCCTGTCTCCATACCTTTTCAACCTGTATGCAGAGCAGATCATCCGAGAGGCTGGGCTCCTCATAAGGAGAAGCGTGGTGTTAGGATTGGTGCATGATCTATCAACAATCTGCGTTATGCAGATGACCCAACCCTGCTCGCTGAAACTGAGGAGGACCTCATGCACTTACGGCAGAGGGCCAGGGACTGCAGCCTTCAATATGGACTGAGGCTCAATGTCAAGAAGACAAAGATTCTCACCACTGGACCAATCGGTAGCATCAGGATGGATGGTGAAGAGATTGAGATTGTTCACAGCTTCAGTTTGCTTGGCTCCACGATCAACACTCTTGGCACCAGTAGCTAGGAAATAAAAAAAAGTATTGCGATGGGAAAGTCTGTGGTTAGGGACCTCTCTAAAGTACTCAAGAGCAATGGTGTCTCTCTGGAGACTAAGGTGCGCCTGATACCGGCCATAGTTTTTGCAATCACTTGTTATGCATCAGAGAGTTGGACAATGACTAGGGAGGATAGAAGGAGAATTGACACCTTTGAGCTGTGGTGCTGGAGAAGAGTATTGAATGTACCGTGGACTGCCAAGAAAACAAACAGATTCATCCTAGAGAGGGTTAAACCAGGCTGCTCCTTGGAGGCAAGGATTCTGGGGCTTCGTCTGACATACTTTGGACATGTTGTAAGGAGAGACAGGTCTTTAGAGAGGGACATCATGCTGGGTAGAGTAGAGGGACAGTCCAGGAGGGGAAGACCCTCTATGAGGTGGATTGATTCAGTGACTGGGGTAATCGGGATGGGTGTGTCAGAGGCAATGAGATTGGCACAGGATAGAGCATGGTTTAGGGCTGTTGTACATAGGGTCGCTATGAGTCGCAAATGACTCGACGGCACATAACAACAACAACAACATGTGAAGCCAAGCAAGGGTGGTATGTAGTGGGGTTTCTGTGGAGACTCTAGCTTTGGAAAATAACATACTTACTTTTAAAACAATACTTCCCAGTGAGAACTCAGTATCCATCATCTGCATATTTGGGGACTTGATGGCCTTCAGTCTAGCTTTTTGGATGATGACATCCATTTCTTCTCCCTCCTGGTTTACTCAGACCCTTCATTTACTAGCAAGGCATTTGTCAATGTCAGTAACTTGCTATTTTTTTTTAACTTGCTATATTTTAAAAGCGTCGAGGACTCTCCTTCTAGGGTTGCTATGAGTCACCTGCGACTCAACGGCACTTAACAACAACAACAACAACAACAACAACAACATATTTTAAAAACTGATAACTTGGAACCTAAGGACCAGGTGAGAGAGGGTATGATGTCATTTGGGAATATCGGAGCACCTGCTCTGAGTCTGGCCTGTGCTGGGCAATCAGGACACAGTAGTGATCAAGACAACCCCAGTCTCTGTTCATCCAGAGTTCAGACAGAAAGATGA